TATACTGAAAACTGTTTGAAACCATAAATTTTTCATTTCGATATCTGTCTTGTGCTAAAATGACTTTTTTTTCTGCCGTTTGAGCAATGTACAGTCATTTAAGCTGTAACAGTTCGGTGGCAAACTCTTAACTAAAAAAAAGCTTTTAACAGAGCGATTTAACTTGTAGTTCGTTGTCAAGCGTTTTATGCGGCGATTTGGTGCGTGGTCTGTGGTTCAGTTCCAAGTTTCCAGCACTAAAGCGCTGAGATCAGCTTTACAAAAATATATTTCGCCTCCTATATCACTCTCTAGCTACATTTTTTAATGGGAAAGTAATGAGGAAGGCAATGTAGGATAATGTAGTTTTCGGATCTTTATTGCACCGAGAACTGCTACCCACTAACCCGCACAAATAGCACAGAGCAGCTTAGACAAGGAGTGTAATAATTCTTAAAGCAGAAAGATTAACTGTACAGGGAGCAAACAAATTAGTTTATGACAGGTCCAATTTTAGCACTTCGAAATCTTATGTCACGCATTTTGTAGCAGCATATTGTCTACTATATAAATTAGGGTATTAACTTATTTGCGTTTCATTCTCGTAAGTCGAAATCAATATATCATTACCAAACTTCAGCTTAAGCGGTCCTGTGTGTAGCTTTTCGTATAGTACACCGTAACGATCCCCCGCATATCAGTGTGCTCATCACCAGTACTTGTTCTTACTCGTTGCCTTATCTGACGATAATTTTTATATAGGGATCCTGTCTTACCAAAGTTGCAAATGGATGACGTTTCGTGCCCACGATGTAAAACTACGAAGTTTCGGAATCCATCACTTAAGTTGATGGTTAACCAGTGTGGCCATCCTCTGTGCGAGAAATGTGTCGAAATTGTATTTATTAAGGGCTCTGGGAATTGTCCTTCATGTAATATCCTTTTGCGGAAAACCGGATTCCGACTTCAGGTATGTGAAATCACCTTTATGAGTTATTATTGTCATTATTTAAGTTCAGCACATATATTGTTGGATCAGGAATGAAAGAGCATGCAACAAGCTGAAAGTCCCGACAAGATAATAGTTGTATTTGTTGCCACAATGACAAGCTTCGTTTCACAATGCAGTACTTATCTTTTATATTGACTAGATAGAATAATCGTCAAAATAACACTGCTTGGTTCGTTTGGAATTAGAACGTTCGCGTGGCTGTAAATAAACGTTTAGTGATTTCCACAAAGATGTACTTTAAATGATTTTTCCAGCAGTCTTAGCTACCTACACAGTGGCATTGAACTTGCTGGCCCCCTGTTTTACTGTACTGTATATTTTAAATGGAGTTACGCATTGCTCCTAAACTCTTTACTAACCGTTAAAGTCGTTACAACTGTGTTAACAGGTATTTGACGATCCACTGGTGGAGAAGGAATTAGATATTCGCAAGAAAATCCTAAAAGATATGAATGCTCGTGAAGAGGATTTTCCTACGCTTTCAGAATACAACGACTATCTTGAAATGGTAGAAAATATAATTTTCAAGCTCACGCACAACATCGATATAGAAGCAACGCGGAAGCACGTCGAACAATACAAGAAGGTATTAAGTAACATGTGGCCACACCACTCACAGGACATGCTAAGGCTGTTTCGTGATTAAGATACCACTTAATATCGTAACTGGGTGCCGAGACAACGTTGGATAGGGTCAACGCAGGTTAAAACGCGACAGTAAAGAACACAGTCGTTTTCGTATCATGTTTGCCCAAAGTGTTAGTTAAGTTTTGCTTGCTCTGTGTTCCAGTAGAAATCTACGGTAACATTGCTCTTAAGTGCTCTTAAAAACAAATTGCCCAAAAAAAGTACAAATGTAAGAACAAATCATTCTGAAAGACATCAGGCATGCTGTTGAAAACTTGACATTGTGTTTCTATTGCCCTTTACCTTTGTCGCGAAGGATCACAAGGTTATGATTAGCAGAAATCGGGGTCGCCAAAGTAAAGATGAGCAATTAATTGAGCGACTCCTTGAGGAGGAAAAAATCGTGTCGGACTTCCGGAGTGAACGACAACGACGTGAAGACCTTGAGCGTAGAAAAGCAAAACTCAAAGAAAAAGAGGAGCTAATTGATGAGCTCATGTTTTCGGAAATGTCTGCTGCCGAGATCGTGGCCATACACGACCGTCAGAAACAACAACAAGCTGAAGCTGAAAAGGTGTGTTTTCGCAGAACTCTTTTTCAGTAAAGTCCATTTGCGTTTTAACAGGATTCTGTTAGGCAATCCTCGTTCGTTTCAGATGTTTGCAAGAATAAATCGCATGGTTTCATACAGACTTACATGTAATGCTGAAATAGGCATGAATTGAAGCATGCTTGTATACTCTTACTATTACCGGATTATTGTATTTTGCTCTTATTTTATGCTGCAGGAAGAAGCAGAACGAGCCCGATCTTCAGCACCGACTGCATTTTCGACCGGCATCAAAATCGCCGGACAGGCCGGTCATTCTGGCGAGTTCCTTCCTGTACCCAAGGCGCGGGAACATCCTCCTTATGAATATCGTCCGCTGCTTATGGATACACTTGGGCCCGTACCGCCGACAGAAGAAGAACTGGACGACTTTGGTTACCTCAATCACATTCGGGAGGCAGATACTGCGGAAAAAGCCGGCGGATTCGAATCGAAGATTGCCTGTCAAAGGGCTATTCAAAACGCTTTATGTGGCCTGTATTTTGAAATTGACAACTTGTAGAAGGATTATGTATGAATTCGTAAAGGTAATGGAACAATACGAACGGAAGCATGTCGATTGTACTTTTGGCTATATACGGCATGTCATTTATGATGAGGCACGTCATTCCCTAAGTGTATATAGATAACGTGTGGTTGCATAGTTTTGTACTAAAAAGGGCTAAATATACCTTTTTCTGTATATAAGGATATTATGTGTGCCGTATTTTATAATTTTCACGAGGCTGCCTTACGGTATACTAAAGGAAAAAACTTTGGATCTAACTACTGCTCAAAATGAATTTTCCTATGTACGTTTGTCCAGCCCATCGTATTTATAAAATAATAATTTCGCATACGTTAACTATGATTATGTCCCAAAATCCGCTAGATCCAATACAAATGGCGGTCTTCGATGCTGAGTTGTGGTTGGAGTTGTTTTATAATGATGAAGAAGCCCTATAAAAATGTAGCAAAAATCCAAGCCGTTTGAAAAACCAAAAACGGCAATGACTTTTTTTAATCATTGCTTTTGTCGAACCCGTACCATATCGAACCTTTTATCTAAAAAAAAAAGAATGTTTAGATCAATGTTAATCAGAAATGGTGAGATTGCAGCAGCAAAGAATGTGAAATTCTCTATTGCTTTTAGTCCTTTCTGTTTTGTTTTTTATCCACTGTCACTAGTTACTGTCGTTATATGAAAGGTTTATATAACAAATGAGTTCACAAATAACACTAGTTTGACCATTTATTTAATTCTCGTAGTGCATACCGAGTTTTTAGGTCCCGTAATCTGCTTCAGTATTCTTCTGATGGCTGATCTCAACACGAGACCCAGTAAGTCGATAGTATACGCTGTCATTAAGTTATCATGAGCTATGGGACTCGATCAATCTGCCTAATGGGTGTCTTTTAATAAAAACATAGTTAATTACCCGGTAAAGTATCTGGCAACAAAAGGGCGGAGTGAAAGAAGGAAGGGAGAGATACTTAATGAGTGTATTCCGCCTATTCATGAGAGTAAAACAAATCGAAGTGGTGTTTAGATAATCAATCTACCGGTAGCTCTGCGTGTACAGTAGGAAGTTCTACGTTTTATGGCTGTTTACAAAGCTACATTCATTTTACCTTACGAAGATTCGAAAGTCGTGTCCCCCAGTATTTATCTGGAGAAAATATCATATCGTTCAGTCGATCAACTTAATTTTTAAGTTTTAACGAATACATAGAAAAAGTCATAACGGATCATGATAAGAGGGTACGTCAGTGGCCGAATCGATTTCTAGCACGGACTTTTTATAGGCAGCAGCACGTTAAATTCAGACAAGTCACATTCGAGAACGGCCGTCAGCTTTTAGGTCATTTGTTGTTATTCTTATTTGTAAAATGTTCGTAATAATCGATAAACAAACAGTTAAATTATCTATTTCCTTTGCCTACGTAAAGCTCCTGTAAACGATACTGTATAGTTATTTGGTCTAATATTTTCATTATTAAAAGAAGTTTTCAAGGTTGCAAAAGTATCGTCTTATACCTAATGCCAATACAGAATACCATAATGGATAAGCGTTCCTCAGTTATTTTAAAGAACGTTAAAGACACTCAGATAAGATTGGTTCACATCGTTGTCGACTTTGTTGGGGTGAGATAGATTCCTTGAATAAAAACGGAGCTATTTCAGCACTGTATCGTGAACACCATGATGTCTCATCTTTTCATTGAAGCTCTTTTTTGATAAAAATATATAATAGTACGCGAAATTATATACGATCCGAAAACCTACTACATCTTTTTTTTTCTTTATTTCTTTATTTATTTTTTTCTTTAATCACATGAAGATAAAAAAGGCTCCTCACTAACGTAATTTGGTTATTTAGGCCATAAAACAAATCCAGTTAACCTTTTGTATTAAAGTATATTAAAAAAACAGTCCTATGATTGGTTCTCGTTCGACGGATGTGTATATTAAGTCAGGATCTACATTCAGAAGCGCGTACATAACTATGCTGTCAATACGAGTAGTACCACAAAGTTGAAGGAGACAATTTTCGCTATAGTAATTTACAATTAAGATTCTTTGTGATGGATTCATATGGAATCAGTTGTATAATCAATGCTAGATAAGTCAAGTCTACGAAGTTCTATCATGAACGCATCAATGTAATAGTAATTATCTATTGTAGTACATCAATTTCAAGCACATTTTAGCGGGCGTCACTATTGCCAAATAAGTCACTTAGCAACAAATAAGCCGTAACATACTTTTACTATTAGCAATGTCTATCATATTCTATTCCTCAGCGAGAGGCTGCGCTACTTATACGCGCGTTGAAACGTTTTTTGCTCAGTGTGAGAAAAATGTTTGCGTCTCTGGCGGTCACGTCGCAATACATCAACGTATTACCATCATCGATAATTCGTATGGATCAATCGAAACAATTTTCACATGGTGCACGATGATAATGTTTAATACGCAGTAAGGGTGAATACTATTAAGGGCACCAGGTTGCACAGCCGAACAAGCTTTAAAGCAAAACAGTTATGTTGTACACCAATTACGAGGCTTTTCATGACCTGTCCATTTCTATGACACAGTACAGTTGCGCCAGTGACAGGAATATCGATAGATCTTCAGCTGAATATTTACCGAGATGTTTTCCGGAGCGAATCGACTTTTTTTTTTACATCACACTGCATTAAGATTAGAGAGCTGTATGGGCACACATTGATTGACACAAAATATTTAAGATATCAAAGTTTTAAAGTTTCATCAGGATAGCGCCATGACATGAGACCCGATGTCCACTAAATGAAAATTACACTCCTAGCGCTGAGCGTGAAAGTCCACCAAAGGAAGCTCTAGCTGTACTGTTTCTGTTTAATATGAAGGGAGAATCTGCCGTCCTATTGCATTTATTTAGATACAGCTTTATGAACACTTCTAAGCAACGGGTAGCGTATTGTAATCGAATATTACTGAGAGGTATTCGCGTTTGAAAACGACATCGAACACAGGGCGTCGGTATGACCCGCTTTCAGACTCATCTTCTTGTCGGCGGCGTATCTGTTATTTTAAGAATGGTCTTGCCACAGAGATGGCAATAGGCGGTCAAGATGATAGATCGCATACTTAATGCGCATCATGTCAGCTGAGGAACAGCGCAGACAGTCCAATAATATATTCCAACCATCCGCACATTACAGGAAATTCACTCTCAACTATGTTGTTTTTTTTCGCTTGAGTACATACCACAGAAGCTGATGAAAAAATTGAGACAATCACAAGCCTGCCCTCAAATCATACAAAGATCTCTGTTCCCAATGCAGACGCTAGATCTTTAGGCCTATATATATATATATATATATATATATATATAAGCACTTATAGCAGCAATGATTTGGGTATTTGCTGTATACGGCTGAACTGTAGATCCTATTTTCCACGCATTTTACAAGATAATCGGTGCCGCAAGCTCAGTCGTCTCATTTTGTTTTCCCTCCGCGGATACGTAACGCTCTATTGTCAATACACCTTAAAACGGAAAGATACAAGTTTAGTTGCCTTTTTCCATTTAACACTGAAAAACTTATAAACAAAGATAAAAAAATGATTTAGTTTGTAATCTTCAGAGGCAAGCAATTTACGAAAGCGCCTGCAGTATGAAAGATGTGCGGTGGAAAAATTCTGACTTTTATAACACATAGAAAATATCAGGTTAGGACCAGATTACTTTCAGTGTTCTTATGATCCTTTAGAGGGGCTAATAAATTCTCAAATGGCCTAAAAGAGAATTTTCGGAACCGAAGTAATCGCCTCCGGGCTACCTTCAGTTTCGGGTACCAACGTGGCAAGACGGAGATTCATCGATACACTTGTTGAACACTAATTCGCAAAGTGGGTCCTATGTTTTTCCAAATTTCCGCTGGTAAAAAAGGTAACTTAAGTTTAATACCGAATACGCCTAATAATTATCTTAGGCCTTTAGGTCTTGAGTCAACACACCTCGTGGGTTTCTAGTATGCATATTTCAGGGCACTAAATAATCAGTTTTGTGAGAAGCTAACGGTACATTTTCTAGAGAATTTGCTACCTGACGACGAATTTCGACGTTCAAAAATTTGGCGCCGTCAGCAAACTTGAGAAATCCCTAGTTATATTATATACTAGAAGTGTACGTTACTGATCATACTCTTGACGTACTCCAGATAATTCTTGTAGATAACATCCTTGTTTTTATGTTGTTTTGTTTCTGTTTTCCAACCGTCATATTGAAGATTCGCGCAGACCGCTTTCAGAACATTCGAAATATATACAGATGTAATTTACACGAGATACACAAGGCTATACATTTTAATGCAGATCATTTTAGCAGCATGGGCTTTCGTGAATCGCCAAATGCTACGAGGCAAACACGACTAGATATTATTAGACTAATGACAGATAATAAATTGTAATCTTACAGAACGACTGCACTAGGTTTGACAGTATTCAAATTAAGGTACTTCCGTCATAGATCTTATTCCCCAATGGCACTACAAGCTTGTACAGTTACAATATAGTTATAGATAGGTCCTGTAAACCTATTTATTTTAGGTGTCTATGATCTTCGTTGTCGTAGCTTTTCAATGGCCAAGGTGATTAAACTAATGCTTCGAGTTTCACGTCCGGTGCAGCCGTTAAGCAAGGCATAATACGGCTGGCTCCTAACACACACCGATGTGTTTCTCGGTTTGGTCTCAAACCCAGATTACCACGCGTTCCCAACTTCAGTTGGTAAAAATACCTCCACTGCATCATCTGAGGGTCGACAAGGCGGTTAGACTGGAGCTGAAAAATATTTACAATTTCTATGCCGGAGGCGTGGCGACTTTAAAACAATGTATGAGTCAGCATACCTCATATTAGCACCAATTCAATAAGTTTACTGCGTGAAGTTCTCTAAAAATGACTGATTTCCTCACCATAATGAACTTTTCCAATCCTCATACAGTCAAGACAAATATTTTTACCTTGTTAAGTAAAAAGTATGTCTCTCATAAACATCAACTACTGCCTATATCCGAAGGTATTGGGATGAACGCTTGTATAAGCATGCGGCTTCCAATTTATTTTATTTGATCTAATCATATTAATCTACTATGCTATTACATACTGTTTATTTAATCCCTTTACAAAGTCTTTGTTTGAATCAACAGAACCAAAATTACTTGTTTTTTTCTTGCACATAATTTCATCTCTTTGTTTTTCTCGCTCCGGCTTCTTATTGCTTCCAGTGTTGAATGTCGATTTGTATTCCCGCATGAACTAATATTTTAATAGGATACTGACAAAGCATTCGTTTAACGGGACTGAACTAGGCAATAGTTAGGTTAGCAGTAAACTGCGCCTAGCGCTTCGTAATGCCTTCTATTCAATAATTATTTATAATCGTTTGCTATTATGGCGTGAACAAGTTCGTGAAAACCAACTCAGCACAAACAGGCAACGGCGTCAGTAATAACATCAACATCAATGCACAAAGTTAGACATGACAACAGCTGCAACCATAACAACATTGTCATCTGTAGATCAGCGGATTCAAACGCAGCGATATATATCGATATATATTAGAGCATATATACACATATATATATATGCTCTACGGTACCTGCCAAGTATTCCTAACGATTGGACGAGGCTGGCTAATAAAGTAACGCTACAAAGCATAAAAGTCTTGTCCGTCTAGCACTGATGCACACCCTTGAACACACCACCTAAGTACTAAAGCCAAATTTTAATGTGTACGCCACGTTATTCTATATATCTGTATAGATTGAAAGCAATAATATAAATTGGATTGAATCGATTTCATCTTGGGTATTTTCTCCGACGCCTGAATTACGTAACTCGTGGGTGTTCGGAATTGCCACATCACCACACACATGCTCCAAATCACTCGCACCATTATTTTGGAGACATGTGTTGACCTTGATTAAGGTTTGGTGAACGGCTCGTAACCTGTCTGCCGCAAGTCTTAGCCTCATTTACCATTGTAAGATCTCGTTCCGAGTCCATCGTTTATAACTAAGAGAGAGCTCAATTTTATCACGATTACGAGACACACAGAAGTCTTAGTAACATTAAGGTATTAACAGGGGGGCAACATAAGATACATTTATTGAATACGTAGCTTGTAATGGTTGCATTGTGTTAGCATGGCTGAAAATTACTCAGTTCTTATACTGCTATTTTACTGTAGGGATTTTAGAACACCCGGCGGTTTGTACATCTAGGAACATGCCTTAGTATGGCCTCGAGATATAGCTCCGACAAATAAATTCATATAAGAAGTATATATAGAAGCCCGATGGATAGGATTATTCATGTTGCTCAGTTTAAGTGATTTTTTATTCCGATAAAAATAAATGATTTAGTTTCTAATGAGTACGAAACGTTTATACAGTGGTGATTGGCTAATCATGGTAATAGCAAAAATCAACTGTTCAACGAACTTTCGGAGTTTATTTCAGAGCTCCATAAGATTGACTGTCATCAGACCAGTAAATAAAACTCAAATTACACATAGTCATAGTTGATAACCCTCGGGCATCCTTTCTGATGCTGTTCCGATTATTGCTTACAACGTTCAGACAGGCAGAATGAATGAAGTGACTTTTTTTAATGCGACCAGAGCAAACAACGTCTTCATCTTGGCTTTTTCTCGCCTTTTACTCGTTTCCAAATTTTGCTTGATCTCATTATTTTCTTTCCACGTTTCTCATAGGAGTGAAGGAAACTGTTTTTATCAGTGTATAGTGTCCACGGCACCAAACGTGCATGAGATCACGCGAATGAACCCCTGAGCTGAATTAATCATTGGTAATATCAGCATTTCCTTTATTAATCCAACATAACAAGAGAATGTCTATAAGACCTGCTTAATACATTTGGAAAACTAGGTAGCAAGCATAGTTACCTAAAATTGTGCCTCGCCTCATTTGCGTGCCAGGCTACTAGTAGAAGCACTGTTCACCACTTAATTCGAGGATACATCAATATATAAATACTAAATTCTCATATCCTAAAACTATAATTACGGTATTGCACTTGGACGCTCAAACTGGTTTGGGCTGTAGTCTGTATAGGTTCTCAACGTTCTCGCGAAGCAGCCGCTTCTGTCCTGAAATTTGAAAACGTGGCACAATTCGTAAATTAGAAATTAGATCGTCTGTTGGGCCAGTCACGTATAAAAATATTCAGCTAGAGCAAAGAAACTCTAACGTGATACTAATATTGTGTGTCAAGTTTTTCTTTATTCGTAGTCCTAAGGTTAGTCAAGAAATGCACCTAAACTCTGGACTTTGCGGGCCACAAGACAAACTCACCCAACTATGGATATTTATAATACTAGAAGCTGCAATTAAATGTTTGAATAAGGCGCTACTATTCCGTTTACCGCAATCATGAACCAACACATACCTATGCGACAGCGCTAAATTATACTCAAGAAACATAGGGTACTTTATTCCTGGTGTATTAACTTCATAAAGTGTTTGCGTGACAACGAAGTCGCCGACGCAGATGAGATACTATTTGCAATACTGCGCCTCAGTACTTTTCCGCATCGTCTAGTGGAATGTTTTAAAATGGTTAAGTCCGCATCTGTTGGCTTCACTATAAGCACCCGTCGGAAGTTCAGACAGAAGAGATTGTTAATGTAAGAAGTGGAGACGTATCAGGGAATCCGAACATCTTTTTTTTGGACTCGACTGTAAATGATTCTCCTTACAGGAGACATGTTAAAGGAGTTTTGGCAGCCAAAACTGGGTCCGTAGACAAACACAAAGGATGGTTTCAACAAAATGGTGCCACCTGTTATTGCCCATTAAAAGTGCTAAAATGCCCTCCTTCAATGCGCTATAACTTGGCATTGCATCCAGAAAAAAAACGCCTGATTTGTGTGAAAAATGTGCGATCCGTTTTTGCTTGTGAAGAAAGGCCGAGACGCTAACCTAGGAGACATAATTATCTCTATGTATTCTATGATTCTAATATAACGGCAAACACTACAGCTCCTAACACGACCTTGATATTGTGCAGATTTGATAAACGGGTGTCATTTACCATAGTTAGGAATAGATGGCTTTATATCTTGCCCGCCTTAGATCTTACCAGGAGGCAGGTTTCCAATTACGAGCTGTTTGTCCAGAAACTGAAGGCACATTTGGGCTGGAAGCCCTAAGGCGTGCATGTTGTGAGTGAACACCGCCAACTGACTGAACGTAACGTTCTCGAGGCATTGACGCTAAAAATTCGAACAAAATCATTAATATGTTTCCCAATATACTTACATACAACCTTTATGCTGTGTTCAACTTGACTAATGTAAAGGATCAATTTCTACGAAAGATTTGTACCTGTGATTCCTTATCAGGTCTTTGTCTCGTTTGAGAAGTTATCTCAGGGCTGTCTTTGCCAGTCTGATTCATACAATTAGGACTTGGAGCTGACGGCAAAAGAAATTTAGCTCGTTCGCACAGAATTGCTTCAAAAAATGCGGCGTTCCAGAAACGATGGTTTTTCCAGATCGGCTGTGACGACAGTTGACTATATAAGTGCTCTCGATGAATGGATCCATCATTTTGCTCCTCTAAAAAGCATATCAAAGATCTAGCAATTAGCAATTAATTAATTTTCAAGTATTTACACAAAAATAAACACAGTGATCAAGTTATCATATGCAATACTAGCAATTTGTATTCCATCACAAACGTTTAAGTTATTACTCTTTTGGCCGTAAGCCATCGTAAGTTACGAAGCTTCATAATATTTTCGTAGCAGTCGAGTCAGATTTCGGAAAAGGTAGTATATGACCCGGTATTGTACCACTATAGCTATGCGGAATTATTCCTTCGCTGATGCGAGATATTCTTTTAAAATAATACCTTCCGTGTAGAATGTGAAGCACATATTCATAAGTACTTTAGCAGGAGGCCAGTCATCGGCCTCACAACTTTCAAACAACATCACAGCTGTTGATTGAGCAAGGCTGAGAAAGGCACCTTCTGCTAAGCAGGCTCGCCCTGCCCGGTGACCATCGAGTGAACGTGCGAATGCCGATCGACCTTCAGGAGTTGTTGCAAGCATTCCAAATCGGCTTTTTTCTTCCGGCGATACCGAAGCACTTCATCCAAACGAGAGAAACAGACAACACCCAAATCAGACAAAACTCTGGGTACTCTTTTCCAAAACCTCTCAAAAATTATATAATCCTACTCCGAATAATGAAAAAAAAAAAAAAAATATATATATATATATATATATATATATATACTCAATTTTGAAATTAAAGTAACCGTTATATATGGAAATACGTCCTTACTTGAAGAGTATTTTAATACAATAATTTTTTCTAACTTCAGACGTTCGTTATTGTTTTCGACAGACTTAGGGGTTGTTCTATTACTTTCCTCTAAGATAAATCTTTCACTTACTAATCTTCTAAAATTTTAATAACGAATGCATCCATAAAGCGCATAATTTCCTGTACGTCGGGTGACTGAGCTTTCTGTTCGTTGGTAAAAGGCAAACTTGTTGAACGAAGCTCCTCACAAGCATTTCCTATTTCATCTTCAATCCCGGCGCCTTTCTCAGTGCCACACCATGAACCACTCCCGCTCGAAGTTCGCCTGTAGAAGCTAGGCTCTTACTGTCTGATAAAGTTCATGTTCAAAATACGTCTAAAAAGGTGTGCCTTGGAACACTATCAGTAGTCAACGAAAGTTCTATTGAACCATGCATGATAATTCTCAAAACTTTCTGAGATCATTTTCGATGCTTACAGAGTAAACTGCATACGCAGAAGAAAACGATTTTTTGGCCTGGTTTTGGAAAAGACAATCTGTTCTTAGTCCTTTTTTCTCGACAGAACTATCAGCTCTGTTACCTCTATTTCTCAAATATGTTTCCTTTTACTACAAAGAAACCGTATTTGATTATGAATATACTCCGTCAAATGCTAAGTTATAACACTGTATAATTGTTAAAAATTTATTGTCAGATTGGTTTTTCGAAGCTTTTTCAAAAATATCGAAAACGTAGGTTCTATTAAGTCTGACGCGTACATGAAGATAAAGTTACACGTTGTTTAGTTCCTTCTTATATTAAAGAAGGAGAACTTTGTTTTCAGATACTTCAGATTAAATTAAGAGGCTCTTTGTTAAGTAAAATTTAAGAAATACGATATAACAGAGCGATGTGCTTTGATATAACAATATTTGCAGAATGGCCACACCTACTAAACTAGCGTAAGTAGATATCATGTGCGTACACTTTCTTATGTAAACCCGATGTTCCTTATATGAAGATCTCGGAAAGAAGAACATCGTTTAATGATTAGATGATCCAAAGAGCTCAGTTTAAAAATCTAATATTGAGAACAATGAAACATACAGGCTATGACTCATTAAATAATAGGATAAAACAATCTTAGATGCGATATGTCTGCATGCGACGTACATGTTAGCCAAGCTGTGATAAATATATATAGATCGATCGCTCATAGACTTAGCCTCTATGTTTCGAGTCTTTACGCCCGGTATCGCCCGCCGTTAGGCGTTCCATCAGGTAGCTGGCTGACTCCCAGCACAAAATGAAGTCTGTCTGTCCACACCCTATGGGTTCGAACCTAGACCACAACGGGATCATTATCGAACCCTCAAATTTTACCTACATTCCTATAACACAATGTTTTTGGCTTATACGGTATACATAGAATTTGGTACCTATTTCAGCATTGCGTATATCACTCTACGTATTGAATTTTCTGTGCGTCAATTACCTGTCAGCCGCCAGTGAATCAGCGTCGTTTCGAACCTTCAGCGCGGGCTGAAAGATTTTTTTTAAGTCGACAGTGTCGAATTCACAACAACAATCAGACGGTAATCGAGAATCATCGTCGGCAGTTTTTCCATCTTCGTTATCGGATGCGGAGCTACTCAGTGCTAAGACGCTTGTCGATGTGTCGTCTGCATTAATGTCGTGGCCACTAAGGGACGAACCGGGTCTGCAAGAAGATGTTTGCGATTGAGGTTGTTGTTGAGATTTGCTCTCAGCTCGCGAATAGGTTTGTCCTTCTTTAGGCGTGTTGTATTGTAATTGATCGACAGCCGGCGCCCCCGGCAATGAGCTCAAATTGAGCAAGTGCGACCCGCTATCTAATGAATCTCGGTAACAGACTGCATTTGCGGGTCGCTGTGCGGCTAACAGCTGTGATCGTTCAATTCGCCGTGACCGAGCCTGCGCTCTGCTGCTCATCGTATCAGTCCAACTATAAGAGAAAAGGAAAACAACTATTTTGATCATCACGATGGAAATATTTACTAATCAATAAAATAGTGTCTGCAGTTTTTGAGGCGATCGCATCGGTCGCAGTCGGAAATGCTGCAACAAGTGTTCATGATAAAAAAAAAAAACAAACCCAGAATCTATTCCGCCGAGCTATCGGCAGATAGCTTCTACCTCACATCGACTGCCGCCTGAAAACGATAGTCATAATCTAACTTCCCGTAGACTGTAGTGAGATTATTGTAGGCTTCCTTTAGTGAACTTGTAGCCATAAGCTAGACAGTATGCCCATTAACCCAGACGGTTTTATAGCTAACGAATTTGTAATCCGTTGCATTGCTATCTTTTCGGAAAAGTATGTTGCCACGTTGAACTACTATATGTACTTTATACTACCGTTGAACTTTTTCTTCAACAGTGCACGGTTCCATTTCGACATGAACTATCGACAACTCCGATTTACCACTGTGCCGATACGGTACGTTGGCACGCCACTTTATGCTTCCAGCGTTGCTGTCATCTGCAAGAAAAGAGAGCAACTTTGCAATTAAGCAAGAATCAGTGCCATCATTCACACAGCCATGTGTTAATTTCAATGTAGGGTTATTTACACCTTACGGTCTCTGAGATAGTATGTCGTGTGGCATTATCTTTACTTCCTATTCGTACGTGCATCTGTTGCTCTACTAACATTGCTGAATTATATATATATATATATATACATACTTTTTTGTTGACACATATTGCACGCTAACGGGATACCCGAAGTAGGCAAGTAGGTAGAAAGAAGACGCCTGATCTGTTTCAACTAGAGACCGCTGCGTCGACACACACACATATATGTCTATATACATTATGGCGGCCGGTGCCAATAATCGTAGGAATTTCCGTCGCTATATAGAATCAATGAACTGTTGCTATAATCACCGGCATGGGTGCTGCCGGTAGCATGGCAGCGTCAACGAAACCTGAGCGATGCGGGATCGCTAAGAGATTGATTAATTCGGTGTTGCCCAAGCTGCGAGGCTAACTGCCCTAATGGAGAATACGATAGGAGTGCGGAGAAAGGAGTTAGGATTCCTTAATTACTCGAGGGCCTGGACAACAAATTCGGCCATTACGGCTACGACTCGTATCTATGGCAGATCGCAAAGCGGCTGCTCGGACTCGCACTTATTGAGTGGTTTGAATATTAGTTTCAATCGGTTAGAGGCGACTCGGAGAAGTGGGAAGTGCCTTAGGCGGGAAGGGAGATGATAAGGATTTGTATGCCTTCGCATAAAAGAAACGCTGGAGCGTATCGCGTTGCTCCTACGTCTGCTGTGGAGTCGCTTCCAAGCTAAGGATTATAGCGCTTGCCTTGACGAAGGAAGGTCTGTACGAAGGTCCTGCTGGTGCCCATTAGAGAAGCGTGTGGTCTTGACGTGGCCGACGCCAAGAAGATGTACGGTGCGGCTATTTGTTTGTAACAAAATTATCATTACACTCAGAATACAGACGGAAATAGATGTTCCCGGGCTTTATTTGTGAACGGGCTTAGGTTTCAAATTAGCGATACGGCCTCGCGCTGTTGCGAAGCGCGCAAGCCCAGGCTGAAGTTACTACCATGCCTTGCAGTTCATGAACAACATGCCTGACAAAGCGGGTGGACATGCAGATATTCGAATCTGTACAACAAGCACTGACGTGGCCGCGGCGTACCAGATTTCCTGATCACCCAAAAAATCGGAACTATGCTAGTATTACTTCAATAATACATTAGTAACCTACTTAATAAAACATAGGTATCCTATTTACCATCTCCCCGGGAAGCGATTGCTGAGTCCAACGCGTCCAATGACATAACGAACGTCGAGTTCTGTTCTTTCGAACGACATATCTTGACCTACCGAAAATACATATAGAACACAATTTTTAATTTTCTATTAGCCGATTTTAATGATGACTATCAGATATCGTTTTTTTTTTCTTTTCGTTTGAACTTTATTAAATTGTTACGTCTGCCGACAAACCATAATCTTCCTAAAGAAAACGAATTTTTGCTGAAATCCGTCATGAACATTAAGCCAGCCCACGGAACGGTTACGTTCTTTGTACAGCATTTAAATTGGTTTTTTACACTTTGCTTACCCCTTTCTTAGTGTCACCATTTGTCTGGGAGATGTTCGGCGGACAGTGAGCGGCTATTGCGTCAGCTTCTGGTTGTGGTAGAAAGCGACCCGAAAAATGGCGTACGGATTCTCCGGAGTGCGCTATAGTCAGTTCCAAGGAGTGTCGACGAGATGCCGGTAATAGCTGAGTGGTCATCGCGAACTTGATGCACTCGGCGACGCCAAACAGGCGTTGGCGCTCTATAACCATCGTAGGTGATCGTATTAACAGATTGCCAAAATAATAACAACTGTAATGTTCTCGTTGAACGAATCACTTTACCAGATAGGTTTTTTTTCCAGCTATTTGTGCGTGGCACATCGACAGCTCTGTGAAGAAGTTTGTCAAATGTCAAAGCCTGAGCTGGACCACTTCCCAAAAATGTAATTAGCCATTTAATAATGAATGTGCCCTTGTTTCCAGAAACAGCTGTGTTGTGTTAATTATTATCTTCTTATCTTCTTTCTTCGTTTTATATAATTCGTTTTTGATAGTAACAATATATTTAACATAAAGGAACAATAACAAGTTATCACAGTCCGCTTATATTGTAAAAAGTCTCCATTGATGGTCTTAATATAATCCACTCCACATTTTACCCACAAACATGCTGCAACTGATCTGTAATAGAAACACGTAAACGCTATCGAACATGTGCATCAATATGGGAGGGGTCTGCGTTTCTCGAGTGCGGTAACACCGGACCCTGTTGAGGCACGCTCGAAAAAATCGTTTAAAAAAGAGTAACCCAGTTTTGCTGAAAGCGTCTCTTAATATTCGCTAATTTATGGTTGTTGTATTTCAAATGTTTCTGTGTAGGTTTTTTTTCTGTGCAGTTAGAGTAACCTTAGCAGTCGTGGCAAACGAGTTTATTTTAGGCGGGCTCTCATAGAAGATCTATGTTTGCGTTCAAGTAACGCCACTATAGTCGGCTATAATTGCTATCATGGTTTCTGAGCGAGAATGATGTACATACTATCCAGCGGAGTTTTTCTTTTTCCTAGTAGAAGAATTCATTAAATACTGAAACATTTCGTCATTCGATTCAACTTTTTTTTTTTTTTTTTTTTTTTTTAAATTTGTAACTTGGATACAGAAATCTCAAAATTACAGTGCATATATATATATATATATATATATATATATATATATATATATATATACATTCCTCGTAAATATGAATAGAAGCCTCTAATAAAAATGGCAAGCCTTCGTCCTGCTCGCCTCGAAACGAAGCCAAACATGTGAAGGGTTGTCTCTGGTTACGGCACTTAATTAAAAAAACAAAGGTACGCATACCACTATTTACTATATACTAAAAAAGTCGATTAGTGCAGGTTCATTAGTTCACTAATTAAATGTGGTGGTCACACTTACAAACAGTAGGTATACACTAATAATATTGTAAAATTTTATTACACTGAGGATTGATGTATCGATCAGGAAGTACTTTTCCCTTTTGAAGTTCTTATATAGTAAGAAATTTTAGTACATCAGGGAAAAGCCGGCTTTTCTTAGATTGTGGTTGATGCAGCCGTCTAACGATTACTACAAGAAGTAAACAACCGTGTCTTGCAGATTGCTTGCAAATGCATCAAATGCTGTGTGCTTTTTGAAGAATTCGTACAAAGGAATTGAAACAGAGACCCAGCTAGTATGATTTACTATGATTTCTTTAAATAACAGGTAGTTTACGAAAGCTCCAAACTTTGTGTGGGTTTTTTTGCATTTGTCTGATTTTCGGTGACAGAAGTGCTGGTTAACATTCATAAGTACCTACATGAGTTTTACACAGTTTGAGAGAATCTAAAGTCGTAGCAGCCATCTTATACGTATCTACCCTCGATCGTTTGTTGTACGTAAGGTAAAAGTTAGAGAACTGCAAGCTAAGCTTAACTGATGTAAAGTCAACTGTAATTGTCATAGTACTGCTATCTGGCTTTCAGTATGATCTTTATGAAGCCTCTTCAAATTTAGCTCTAAATTTAGGTAAAATTAATTTGTAGTTTCACGAAAAATCTTTTTACCTAAAAAAAAAAAAAAAAAAAAAAAAAAAGCTAGACCAATAAACATGCCTCAGGTCCACTTCTTTTTCCTAATAGACATCTAAAATAAATGCCAAATATGAGTGAGCTAACAGGCTATGTATATTCATAATCCTTTTTACCATATTCATCCAACAGAGTTGAATGAGTTTTAGATATTTAAGCATTGATAGAAAAAGAACATGTTGGCAGGCCAGTCAAGTCGTTGATTTGTTCAAAATACAATACCATGATCAAGAGACTATCGGTCTACAGCCATATGTACTAAGTAGACAGTGATTTATGTCTTTTCCCGATAGAATTGCTGGTGCTTAAACTGCTAGTGGGATGTCTCTAGGCTATCGCCTACAATATTCATCTGGATACTTGTTTTTACTCGCGTACTCATGCCTAAAACTAGAAGATAGTAATCAAACAAATTCTAATTGGTTAAAGGTGGACCCTTTTAGATACAGCTGGTCAACTTGGCTAGATGAGGTCAATTTGAGTATGAAAAAAATTGACAGCGACGGCATTAAAATAGTTACCAGCACCTTGAAGTTTAGCCATGGATAGGATTCTCAGTGCACTACAACAATAAATCAGAAACTAGTGCCAAGCACAGAGTGGTCACTCAGGTGACAGTGTCTACGATAGATTGAAGATATAATAATCAAAAAATTTTTATAATAGGTGAACGTACCGTTCTTTTTACCGACGACCATTATTCTTTATGGCTTTTATTTCTTTGGAAAAACTCTGAACCACCATTTGCGGATCGCTTTCTCTATCCAGCTTAGTTTTTCTTCTTTTCTAGTGGAACTACGACGGCTATGATGAATTAGCGGATGGTCCTTTTTGAGCCGCTTTGATGAGCAGTAGCACAACAAATGCAAACAAATCTCTTGCGTAAATTGTACGATTGACTATTCAATATCCATCAATTAACCATCGTAGCTGCTATTGGCACTAACAGCTTTACAGTTTTGTCTCTCGGTCAGTTTGATCAGGATGCTCGGTCCGGTGAATCTTGGTTATGCAGTAAACAGTCACACTTCACCCTTATCCTTTTCTTCGGTTCGTTCGATTTCGTCTATATCTTCGTTTCAAGTAATGTCTATACCTCGTAGGTCCGAAAATCGGTGGAGCGTGATATGGTCTATGGACCGACAACTCGTAGTTCGGCAGTTCGATGCAATTCTGCCAAACTACACCGTGGCCAAAGACGGTACCCGTATTTGTCTAGCATAAATGAGGTAGCGAAGTTTAAAGGTGTAATTACATAATGTAACACTCGTTACAAACGTACGTTGGCTACTGCTGTTGCTGCTGGTGATGACCGCGGCCAAATATGGGCTCGATATGGAACACTTTCGAACATTTCATAGTTCAGCAATGCCAATTACGATGGTCTATTTGATTGGATAGCGGTTTGTCAGTCGCAGCTCTGAGGCGGACCAAGATCTGGATCTGAGCGGCGTCGTTGGCGAATGGCTATAACCGGTACACAACTGCTGTTGCTAGTGCAGTTTTGCCGTTGTTTAAAGCTCGTTCTATGTCCAATTCTTTCCACGATTGCTAGTCCGCCCGACTGAGCCAGCCAACTCAGACGAGAACGTAACGACAACGGCCTGCCAGCCCTTTGTCAGCAGTCTTGGCCGCCCAGATGCTACAAGCTAAGCCAAACAAATTCATTACCTCCATTGGCTTCAGGCCACAGTAACGAGCTGCGCTCTCGCTAAGGCAGTAACTAGACGCGCACCAAGGCGATGGTGGCGGCAACCTAAGCAACGACAGCCGGCGCAAGCGAGAAGTCTTCTCACGACAGGGCAAAGAGACGCTGATAGGTCGGATTAGAAGGAGCCAAGTAGACGCTTAACAATGCAAGCAACTGCTGGTAAAAAGCGTATGAATCAGTTGTATTGACAGGAACGTGGTTATAGGGGCAGGCGCCCCTATGCAAATTGACGATTGAGTTACTTCACGTTTCAGAACGACTGTAATTGTTTGCACATATACCGTGGTATATGTGGCAAGCATATGGATTTATTTTGAATGAAATTATTATGCTAATGTTTGGTGAATGGCAACCTATGAAAATTTATATAACTTTCATAGGTTGCCATTCACCAAAGCAACACGGTACTGCAACGTAATCTCCGTACAAGTTTAACACATTGATTAATGTTGCGGTCAATCTGATAATTTTGTCTAGTCGTATCTTTTAGAAATACCGGTTAACACAAGCGCGTAAGTCCAAATTTGAAGTTTGTTTTTTTAAATTTCAAAATTCGATTTGCAATGAACCTAATGTAAAAGTATTGTATACAATAAATAAGAAGTAAAACGTCACATTTCGAGAAAACGTGGCCATTTTTTCCTCTGTCGTCACGTATTTTAACAGGTCTCATCTCGAAATGCTATGCCAAAACCCTAGCTGAATGGAACATGTTTAAACATTTACTGAATCCATAAAATCAGACACTATGAAAAATCGTTTCCAACTAATTCATTTATAAGTAACCGCGGTACTCGCTTATGTAGGAGAACGCGTACGTTTCGTTGCTTGTTAGCCTATTTTTTTTCTTTAATTATTCCGAACTACTATATTTTACCATAATTAGCTAAATCTGGGCCATATAAAGTGCGAACAAAGGTTTTTGTTACAAGAATGTCGAATACGGGAATTATTTGAGGATCATCGCTCGATACCTGAGAACTGTTTGCGTAAATATATACAAAAATCTATTCTATTTTTAAAAAAATGCGCGTTTTCTTTAGGCAAACAGTACGCTACGTCGCTAGCCGATGTCCCAAACCCGATGGAAGACAATATAGCTTAGCTCATATTCGAATTTAGCGGATCGAACGTTGTTTATTATGTAGTGTGAGAGTGTGGAATTAACGTCATGGATACGACTTGTTCACGTACCGTGCCAACGCTAACTCAGCTGCAAAATTTCCGACTGGTGGTGTGAGTGATCACACACGATATACAGACTTTAAGCGGACAAAATACTTCTTCAACAGGTGCGTAATGCGCTGATATTACTTCATAGACGCATGCACAGTGTCCGTCCGCGCACGTCAGTGGACCTAGTCATGTAGGCTCCTGTGCATTGACCATTAAAACTAGCTTTTGACGCCATACGCTTAAATGCTATCGCTTTCCCGATCTTCTAACAAATATGAGATACATACGAATTGACATGTCATACCAGTGATGTATTTAGTGTAAACTACAGCTCATTCTGTGAGATAACCAAAATAGGAATTTTGACTAAAAAAAAAATAACGAAAAATTCTGCAACTCGATTTGCGATATAGCCGTTTCGAAGTACGGGGTTCTAAGCGGCAAAGGACGGTACACAGGAAGCGTTAAGGATCCGTTTATGGGCAGTTTTCCATTTAAAGGCATCCTTGAAGACGAGCAGAGTTAGAATAGTCTAAATAAGCATCGCGAAAACTATCGCACCACAGAGCGTCTGACCCGAAGCCGTTGGCAGACCAGTAATAGATCCTAGGTAAGATCTTGCCCAATATAAGGAAGCCCTGAGTTAATTTAGAGCGGTGTGAAATCCTCCAACGAACATTGAACGGATGTAGTCTGATGCTGCAGGGCCAAAAAGTTCAGGTCAAGTAGCTAGTCAAATACTGGGCACCTAGGTTTCTACGTCACGAAAAGGTTATCACTGCAAACTATATCTTATCAATCGATGTTTAGCTAGCAATAAAGCTATTCGGATATGTACAGTATGAACTATAAAGCAAAACTTACTATTTTACGTATATCAGTTAAGATATGCAGCCACATATGTTTCCAAGCGACGTTTGAAAAATCAGGACGGTGTCACCGTGATGTAAGCTACAACGCCTAGTAGTGATAGAAGAGCCCGTTTTTACTGAGCGATATTATCTGCTCAAGGGTCTCGACTTTGGCAGTCGTGTATATGGTATCGTTATCAATTGATCTACAGTTTATAGTGTAGTTTATAAAAAAAAACATACGTGTGTGTGTTACCTAGTTAACACGCTGCGTCGATTAACATATATCGGCGTTGCTTGTCAAAGGACGTTATTGATCATCTCCAACAAGCAGAACGCAGAGTGCTTGTTGTAGCTTGCTAACTGCATATGCGTCTATGTATATAAAAACTCTGCACGATGCGTAAAAATGTAAATAGGATATAAAAAAAAATTAATAATACCTATATAGTTATATAGCTAAATAACAGCTGACTACAGTTTACAATCGTTGAACGGGTCATGGGAGGGTAAATTTCTATTAGTTACAGTAGTTTGTCTCGAGGTGTATGACAATAGACCGTTTTGTACTTGTGATGATAGGATATTGTCCTGATTTGCATGAATAAACAGTTCCTCTTCGAGATAAATATTCCGCATAAAATATAATACGAACAGCTCTGAGGCACAGACCTAACCTAGTCCGATTTTAACGGAAGTATGTCGCTCTGGCCGTTTCTTCAGCACCACTAGGTAAAATTCATTCAATGGTAATAACCGACTGCTTTGTATATAATTTCGCAGTATGTTGGCATATGACACACAAAGCTAGTCGTAGCATGTGCTTGCACCATTTGAAGGTTGAATTACCTCAAGAGCATGCCCCCTAATTACCTCATTTGAGATACTCGCTTGGATCATATTAAATAATTTGTTTTTCATATCCCTGAACATGTTAAATAAAGTTTTCTATAGAAAATTAAACTTGCAATATTGGGATGTTCAGGGACTCACTCATGAGGAATGTGGGCATTTACATTTTACAAACTAAATACCCCACAAAAATGACAACACTTTCGGCTCCGGTTGGCAAGTAGGCGTCGGACATTTGCAATCGCGTGGCTTTGCAGTCAGCTGATTCCTAATCCCTACGGATATTTTGACGTTGGAAGGCACCGATCGAATCAACCTATAGTCAATCGAATTAACGTGTTGAACGCTGTTACGGTTTACTCAGCATCACGTATGCTAGGATTTAATAATAAGTCAATCGAAAAAATAATAAGAAACAAATAATGTTTATATATAAATAAGCATTGTCATACAAAAATTCACAATTAATTTTTTTGCACTGATTGTTAAGAACATGACGAAACTTTCGGAGGTGTTGCCTATTACCTCGTATGCAGGCGAATATATCTGTGTACCTAACTGCCCAAACAGAACGAGCTTTATTATATCGGTTGTTGTACTCGTACCGTACAAGCCCGTTGGCGTGTTCTGGCATCTTGTCGATAATATATTATAATTAGAAACCGACGGATTTCAATGAAAAGTCAAGACTGCGCGAAGGATCGACAAAAGACACGATGGTTCGCCATATAACGATTTACTATTAGGAGGCGTGACGTCGTCTGGCATTTCGTGCTTATGTTGCCATAGGCCTTTCCTGCAGTGAACCTACTGCTCACTGTTGTTATTTTGGCCCTGGTCAGAATTGACTAATACTTCTAAGCGCGTAGAACACGAGCGCTCTTTTTTCTACATGCCTGAATTGAACAGCCTATCAGGCCATGCAAATTTCCGCTTGGATTTACCACATTCCTTGTTCGCTTGAACTCGGCTTGCTAACCAAGCAGGTTGGTTGTTGTAGGCTAAGCCAGGTATTGGTGACATAGTACTATTGAGTGAAATTTGGCCTAGTAAAGAAGGTATGCCCTGTGAGGCAGCCGCTAAAGCCAACCTCAACTATGCAGAACGTTTGCGTCTAATCTTTTATAAGAGAAGAAGAAACATGAACGTGCAGTACGATACATGCCAGCAACACTTTGTAAAGTATCTGCTGTCCCTTTACTGCTGGTTTCACGTCTGCTTTGATGGCTAGTCAGTGTTCACAACTCGCTGTGATATAGTGGTCATAACGATTACCTGTAGTGTGATTCAACGATATTCGTTGGGTGTCGATCAAAGTGGAGCTAGTCTAACACTGAACTTTCACTTTTTGAGACGACCTCTCGACTCGTTTCGTGCCGTTATTTAGTTAGTATCGAATTGTGGGCACGCATCGGGTTTGTTTGGAAACAAGAACTGCGTGAGACTGACGCAGAGTTAGCGGCGGTGACGATAAGCGGCAGTGGCTCCACTCTTACTGACAACAAACCGCATCTGGCGGGTCTGCCTATAGGTGGCACCATAGGCCTACCAAGGTAGGACCGAACTAAAATTTAGGCGGAACGTATCATATGCACATGGCTGGTTTATCACTTTCCACGTATATTTTTCATTAAATTCTATACGAATTTGCTTAAAAATGAAACAGAACGCATTATATTTGATGCTGTGAGTCTCTGCGCGGAAAGCTCATATCTAAGTGGGGCCTGTTAATCTATCTTTCACATTTAGTAAAAGAAAAAGTGAAATGCTATATTATTTATTGTATCATATTAGATCAACTTATAATTATTAGCAATTTAATAACTGTCGAATTATTATTATTATTATTAATCTTATAACTCAGCCGATATAGAAATCGTCCTGTTTGTAGCTCTTACGCAGTCTATGGTAAGTTCCTTTCAACGTTTCGAACTCTCATGAGCAGGACGCACATGATGTAAAAACCATACGTTTAACGCCTAAACGCGTATCTGTTAGTCTGCTAATTAAAAAAGTACGTAATGATACAGTACACAACTTTGCTTCTAAAACGGACTTCTACAATAGAAGATGATTCGTAGTTGTATCAAAAATGAGTTATTTTCAAAGTGAGCCAAAGTACAAGAGTACCAGTTGACCAGTGTGCGCTGGCATATTACGCCGTTTACGTT